TAATTATTAATTTTCATATGTTGAGTGTTGCGCAATATCTTCTTACTTTGCATGTTACTGGTGCTCCCCATCAAAATGTTCTCAGCATAAAACATCGAATTGCACCTGCTATATTCTATCAAGTGGCTCACAGAGCTGATTCAAAGTCAATGGAGTAAAACAGCATTATAGAGGAAGAAGGATTATTAATATTCTAGATAGTAGTCCTGGTCTTTACTTTAATTTATTGACACAGTGACTGCTTTCAGACAAGGGGTCATGCATATGCAATTAAAGGGGCTTACTCTGTTGGAACCAGAGTGCCCAGAATGTGGGGAAGATGGCACACAGGAAGCTCGTGATTGTTAAGATAAGAACAATAAAAATAAGACGACTTTAATTAAAAAGACAGAGAGGACTTTTTTCACCACTTGCACATCTGATAGCTTATCAGGAAAGAGCAAAAACACCCACATTGGTAAATGTCACCGCATAATTGAAAATTAAAAAATCCTTGGATGAAAAACCAGAAGCTGGATCTGCTCATGTGCTCATTTCATTGTCTTGAAATAAATCTACCATTTCTCAACGTCTCCAGCTATGGTTTCACCATAATGAAAGAGATAGAGAGAGGAGATATGTGATGTCCCGAAACATGTCAAACAAAACAGATTTTAACCAATTATACATATTACCTGTAGATCTACCTGTCTTCCACTCTTTTAAGCTGACTTTTCAGTGAATGGTTAGAGGTCAAAGGGTCACTCAGGTAAAATGTAATCTGACGCCACAGTAATGAGCTGCCACTGACAACTGGAAATGAAGCCAATAAAGGTCTGAAAGCTCATCTCATGAGTTCACAAAGTGAGACATCACAGTGTCAAGGGAACAGAAAATATTGGTCAATGATATTACACCTCAGTGTGCAGGGAGAGACAGATACCATAGCTACAAATCACGGACATTGTCTCAACAGCAGGGGGGGCCTTAAAAGAAAAGCAGCAGAGCAAATGATTACTTTCATCATCGATTAATCATTTGGTCTATAAAATGTCAGAAATAGCAAAGAAAATGCTCATTGCAGTTTCCCAAAGCCTAAGGGGATATACAATTAGTTCGTTTGTCAGATGAACACTTCAAATGTCAAAGAAATTCAGTTTGTAGTCATATAAGACAAAAAAAGCTGCAAATCCTCACGAATGAGCGGCAGGAACAGAAGAATGTTTGGTATTTTCATAGCAGTGCAATGTAATATGAAAATGAAAGGTACAATATTATCCCCAGAATATAAAAAATGGAGGCATATGAAACACATTTATATTTATAAGCAGAAGAATACATCTTATAATTGTAAGATCTTAGCAGTTTCGGGAGAGGGACTTTTTAAATTCAAAGCTTCTTTAGAGGGTAATTTCAGTAACATCTAGGATTAATTTATTCAAATAGCAAAGCACATTCAAAAAGCTATTCTGAGAAAGTGCTGAATGCAAATAAATGCCAGACACTCATCAAATAAGTCTATATTAGCATGACACTGTTATACCAAAATGTCATAAAGGAATGCAAATGTTTGTGTCCTATGGCAGTGGCCACTAACCAGGAGGTTGGGAATCCCCAAGAGCTCGGCAGATGCATATGAGGGGCTTTGAGGTGATCAATAGTATAAGGGGAATGAATTTTCAACAATTTTCCTTTCGTGATTTAAAATACTGGATAGTTTTACCTCTTTGAGCCAAAAAAACCAAAACATTCTTCCTTTTTGATTAAAGTTCTCACAACTCATAGACAGTCGTTTGCAACGTGTGACACGGGTTCATGAGGAGGATTTTCTTAGATCTAAAGCTAGTCTATGTAAATTTTGATAGAAGAAATAACACATTCTTCTTCAATAAAATGCAACCTTGCTCAGTTTAATACACCCAATTTGGTCTGGTATGACCAGTAGCTTATGGTGGCTAATGCTGTAACTTTAGAAAAGTATTGCTGTAGAGCGGATCTTACTGATGACTTTATGACTCTTCTCTACTTGTGCTACGGTTATATTATATTATATTTTATCAAATCACACATACTTCAGTGGTTTTATCACAAAAGTAAAATAAGAAGTAAACCCAGTGTACGTTATTTTCTTTCTGAGAAAGACCTCATATAGATGATGAGGATGATTTAAAACAACAGAAAACTAATTATTTTTTCTGCAGTTCAGCATTGCTCATTTTGATACTTCCAAAACGTATTGCAACTCAGAGATGAGGGACGAGTTAAAAACTTCCACTCAGTAATATTCTGTTATGTGAGAGATGGACACACGCCACAGCCTGCAGGCAGCAGTCTATCAATACGAAGAAACACCTTAATACTTTTAATTGATCCAAACTTTTCAAATGGGTCAAACTCAGACTGATGCATTGTGATATAGCGACGTTTTTTTTTTTTTTTACACCCTATCATAAATATAAATACCCCTATCATACATTTATGTATGTACAAAAAATTAATATGTAGTCACAAACAACAAGTGCACTGAAGTGGCTGCCTGAGAGAGCATGAATATCTTTTCTTTCTTCATCAGCTTTTTTGTATGAGGTTTTCTCTTATTCAAGGTTTTTCTTTGTTAAAATATCTTTTCATGTCTATCAGGTGGTGTTTCACAGTCTTTACCCTGCAGAAAACAGGTCATTTTCATTAATATTCCTTTACTTTGGTTTTGTTCAGGGATTAGATTTGTGACATTTTATTTCAAGCAGCTGCAGGCCTCAGTGACCCAGTTCTCTTTATAGGCCATTAGTGTGAAACAATTTTGAAGATCTGCATATGTGTAATTGGGCTACATACAAGCATGCCAAGGCCAAATGGTGATAGCAATGTCAGACAGTCTCTTTATCTATCCAACATAATGTAATGGTGAGATTGCTTTTAAATGTGGTCTGGATGCTTACGGATCATATGAGAATGATATCAGGGTTTTTGGTGACCTCTTCAAGATCCCCCTGGCTTCACCGCCATGCCAGAATATCTACTCATACACAAGAAACATCCAAATGTACTTGTTGGATTGCCATCAAATGAAATGAGCATATTCATACCCCCCAGAGAATGAATCCTTTCCATCTTGATACTCTTCTACAAATGTTCCTCTTAAGTACCCTCTGGCAAAAATATCAGCCTTGCAAAAAATACAAAATATGGCCCCATTACTCTTAAAGCAAAAATGTTTTTTCAGTTTTGGGGAATGATTGTTGGGCTTTTGTATTTTTATCACGAACTTTAACCTAATTGCTAACAGCATGCTAACACGTTCACAAAAATCTTTCCCATCTTAGTTTAGCTCTCTAGCATGTGATGTTAACATTAGCACTAAACACACAAGTGCAACTGAGGCTGATGAGAAAGTCATTAGTTTTGTAAGTATTGACAAAATAATATGACCTGACAATGGCTTTGGTCAGAGATTCTCCAAAGTTATTACAGTTCATCCTTATGGGGACCTGAATGTCTGTACCAAGTTTCATTGCAATCAATCCAATAGTTTCACTCAAAACCATAAATGTCAACCTAATGATGGCGCTAAAAGAAAGGATCACCAAAAGTTTTAAGATACATCTTCTGGGAACCATGAATGTCTGTAACACATTTTGTGCCAATCCATTGAGCAGATATTGAGATATTTTCCAAGGTAAGTGAAAACTCTGACCTGCTGGTGCTGCTATATGTAAAGTCAGGGAGGATGTACCCTGACTTTACATATAGCAGCACCAGCAGGTCAGAGTTTTCAGAATTGTTATCCCTAAAAAAAAATAAATCACCTCTTACATTTCTTCTTAGCTCAGCTTCTTTATTTCTTGACTTAGACAGCTTCTATCTTATGATATGTTAAGCAGCTCCATGTAAAAAAGGTCAATGAGTGGCGACCTAGAAAGAATTTGAGCAGAATTTGAGCAAAGTAATTTGATAATTAAAAAACAGAAAAATGTTCCAGCATGAAATAGTAAGACGAGATAAGCTACAGTAAATGTATGCGACTTTTAGAGTATGTAAGTACATCTTGCAGACATCCAGACAATTATGCTGTATGGTCTGTCTCTTCTTTATATCTCTTTGTGAATTATGCTTGTTTTTCCATTCACAGTCCAGCCCATTTAGACTTTTTATTTCACTAAGGATTTGTAGGGAGGAATGTCAGTAAGTGAAAGAGAGTGTTAGCTAATGTTTGTATTTATTTTTATACTAACTCTCAGTGCTCAATGCTGTGAGCGAGCTTCCCCTTGCTATGACCTAATCTTAAAACCGTTGAGCCTAACGACCTTCCATCGTTACAGTGGTGATCTGTCATATTAATGAGTTCTATGTCACTAGGGGCAACCCGTGCTTAGTACAGAGCTACTTCAGCAAACTGGTCTCCATTGCCCTACTTTTTACATCACTCAATAGACGTTGATCTGGGTATGACCTCTGCATCAGTAGACTGAAAGGCAATCTCACCTAGACCTTGAGGAAAATACATCAGCCTCTAAAAGAAAAACTACCCATCCCAGAATCCCATGCTCCATCCATCTTCCTGCTGTCACCTGAAACAGGAGCCCATGGTAAGGTGACCCCCCAACTCCATGATGGAACAAGGAGGGCCATGTCACTTTATGAAAACCTCTCCTCACCCATCTGGCACTGGGATAATTGAGCTGGAAACAGGTGAGAGTCGGTGCAGAGAGAGAAAGAAAGCGTCATTCTGGATGGTTTGTCCTCGAGCTGTAACCTATCAACGACCCCGTGTTGAAAATGGGCCATTCTTTACATCAAATTACATCCATTATACTGTCCTTGAGAATGAGAGAATTTCAGGCATGAAAATCAATACAATGGAGACGAAAGGCATGAAATTCCCTTGGGAAGTGGGAGCTCAAGCGACACAGTGGGTGCCATTGTGCCATAAACCTTTCCAACCCGAAGTAGTTTCATAACTCTGTTTCTGCTGCTCCTGCATCTATGACCACAACAGGCAACAATGAGACATGAGAGACACATACAGTGCTAAAGTTTATTAATATTTTGTGTTGGAGATATAAACAGCATGTGACGAGTGTTTTGGCTGACAGATTTAAGAAAAACTGCCGCTGAAATGAGCCAAGGAAGCACTGATGAAGTACACAAAGAAAAAAAATTGAGCCACGTGTACAAACTCTGTTCTACCAACTGTACCTGTGAAAAGTAACAATTGTCTTGTGCTGCAAAAATTAATGTCGATATCTTCCAGATAACCTATATCAATTCCTTTTATCACATAGGACTATTTTTTGCATCAATGGCACAGTTTTAGGAGCATTTAATGTAAAATGGTCTACTTTACTTCAGAGGTTTATGCTCTGTCTATATCAAGGTTCATATGAATGTGCAGTGTGAGACAGAGGGTGTGTTTGCTTCAGTTCAACAGGGAGCAGAGGTAGACAATCGACAGAGGAAATCAAATATATTCCCCTTTATGTTTATGTTCTTGTCTGAATGGTACAGTATTTCACCTTGCTTAATAACCATGTAACACTTTGGTCGCTTTGATATCATATTTTTATTTAAACTCCTATTTTCAATGTAATGACAGCTATTGTCATATAATATGTACTAATATAAAGCCAGTTTCCCACCTGGGAAGAATCAAAGTAAACTACCACCATTTTTCTTTCACTAGTAGTAGTCATTTCAGTACTACTAACGTTTACACTTTGGGGGGCTGAATATATATTAAAAAACAACATACATGAAAATAAATAATTTAATACAAAGTTTCTAGTTAAACATGCAAATAAATTGACAAATCAAAAGAGACAAATGTAATTATGCACAACAGGACAGGAGGTTTAATGACTTGTCCTAGTTTAAGTACTTGCCTTGGGTTACCATCAGGAAAAAATGGAAACGACAAAGACAGGGTAAAGTCAAATAAATGGGCTGGAAGCATCACAGCGATGTGGACTGCTAATATTATCCAGGGACTGAAATTAAGCATTAATTAAACTGTAATTCAAAGTGGGTTATTGGGGGTGGCCACCAAGCAACACTGGTGGACTCAAATCTGAAAACAACAAAACTTTCTGTCTCTTTTTCTGGCCTTAGTTTATTTCACAAACCCCTTTTATACAAACCCACTGTATTCACAGGACAATGTTGGTCAACATAAAACTAATTTGTGAGATAATCACACGTAAAGTTTTATATCATATAAGAGTTATTTATGAGATGAATGCTGTGTCTTCCAAGACGTGGCCTTCTTGAATATTAAGTTGGTACTATTTCTTAGCATTCAGTGCAGCTGTAAATTAACATTTACCAGAGCTGTGTAACACTTAGGTGCATGTGTTTTAATTGACCTTTCTTTATAAGCAAGAAAAAAAAAAACGCAGGATTATCCATCGCCAGTGTCCTGAGCTCCTCACTATAATGAATTGCTTTGCAGAAGAGATGCAACTCGGCATGTGCTGTGGAACCAGGTGGAGCTGCTCAAATGTTAAATAGGTAATTCCCTAACAGGACTGACTGTACATGAGTGGGCGCTACTGTGTGAACTGTTCGCTTCACAGTGTCGAAGCAGAGGAGTTATTATGATATGAGGGGGGAAGAGGTTGTGCTGCATGAAAAGAAAAAACAAACACCATTCTGTACAAGGTCGAGGCACTTTCAAAGCAGCGTGCACATACTATAAAGGGCAATGCACACCCCCCCGCCCAAACACAGACACACACACATGCCATCAGTCTTCCCCCCCCCATACTGAACGGGGATGAAGACACACGCATTCTGCTGCAGCAGGTCTTTCAGCCTGAGTCCATGCTGAACAGCTCGATGCCATGCGGGCTCCAGTGGAGGCCGACTCCAGAGTTGAAGACCAGGGACCAGACGTAGGGGATGAAGAAATCCTCGGGCTGGTCTTCCTCCACATACTTAAACTTGAGCTCCGGAAACTTCTGTTCACACAAAAAGAGAAAGAAGATTGTGAAGATGCGCAAGGAATGGGAAAGAAAAATGTTTTATTTAAACCTGAGTTTTTGCCTCCTGTGATGTATCAATTGTAGACCACAAGTCACTGACTATGAATTAAACAATAAATATATGGGGTGTGGGATTTCAGTGGGCTGGTCTAAGTCCTAGACCATTTTTCATTCCCAGTCCAGCCCTGTTCTTGATTGTTGTACCAATTGCTGGGTAAACAGTAAAAATACATCTTCAATCACATTGGATCTAAAAGTTCTGTGACCAACGGAGTGACATCTCTCACATGGACAGAGGTGCTGCTACACAGGTAGGTTAACTTGTTCAGGCCTCTCAGTAATCACTCCTCATCAGGTACAGTAGCTTGTTGGCAGATGTAATTCCATCCATCTGTGAAGTAAAATTGCTTACAGCTGCAGGACAGGTATCACTCTGTGGTCCGACCACTGACCTGTTAAAGGGCTGGCTAATGGGCCAACTTCACCTCCTGACCCCAGCAGGCGACTGGATATCAGCAGCTACTGTTTGGTAAATAAAGCAGCCTAACTGTCATGGTCTGTTCAGAAACTTCCCAGAGATAATTGAGAAAATGGCTCAGTTACAGAAAGGGGTTGACTTGTCTGACTTCAATACACAACAAGTAAATACATAAAGAACAAACCGTAATGTAAAAAAGTGAAATAAAACATAGGGGTGTAATTTTACAGAGCAGTGCGTCAGAAATCTGGACCGTATTGTTCAAACACGTGGGGATGTCCTGAGTAACCTGATTACTTGGTAATAGCCACTAGACTCTTCAAGCTTCAGCTTGTCTTGACATGGCTTGTTAATGAACAAAACACTCACTGAGCTGGACAGGGAGAGGTTATCAATTTATACCGTAGGGCCTCAATATTGATTATATCCGAGGGGGAAAAAAACGACCAACATATGGCCTGTATACTATCTTTTGCATATGAACCCATAAACCCATTTTAGCACATTGAGCTTAACTTGACATTTTAGCAAACATGAATCCAAAATTTGATTTGTAAGGTGTGTTTGACACCAGGGCTGCAACTAACGATTCTTCTCATTACTGATGGATCTTCAGATTATTTTCTCGATTGACCATTATAATTCCCGACAGCCAACAGTTACTTCTTCAAATTATATAAAACTTCTGTTTACAAGGATATAAAACAGAAAATCCTGACATTTGAGAAGCTGGAATCAGAGAATGGTTATTTTCTTGGACATCAGTGCTTGAAAAAGGGACACAATCTCCTTTTTTAACAGCTATTAAGCTCCTCTCTAAGTGTCTGCCTAAGAAATACTGAATGTCCACGTCTTTTTACAAAGCTACTAGAAGCAAACCCACCTAACAGCAGATATGTAACAAAAGAAGAGCATCAATAATACAGGGGTACCTCATTATATCCTCCTGTCTACACATACATGTATGTGCACACACACAGACTGTAATCAGTCTGCGCTGAAAGACAGATGCTGGGGGCCTTTTTGTGATGGTCCCAGTCTGGTCTATTGAGCCCAGGTTGGCTCTATTCACTGCCACACTATCGGTATCATAATGACACAGACAGAGGGGCTACGGGGTCACAGGACATATGCCAGGCTACTGAGGCTAGACCACACACACCACCGCCATTGTGATGGCTAGACACAATGCAGGAGCTGTATTATCTGGCTGGTATTTGTGTATAGGTGACTGTCTCGTAGACAAGCTGACCAACTCATCAATTGTTCATATGACTGACAGTAACAGTTACTCAACCCAGGCTCACTTTTAGTGGCAAGCACAGAGGATGTAGTATACATTTTAATCTAAAGGTTGAAATTATTTAGCTTTTATTCAGCTGCTTTGTTGACTCATGAGCACAAACAAACCAAAACAGGAGGCAGGCGAATTAATTAATGCCCTGCCATGCCTCTTGATAAATGAAACATAACCAGTTATGCTAATTATGGCAATAAGATAATTGAGACATTAATCAGCAAATACTGCTATATCAACACACTTTCAAACACATGTGTGGTATTAACATTGCTTCTATGTTTAAGCATTGTGGAATCAAAAGTTACCCTCATTAATTTGCAAATATATTGAACAGTGCTCCAAAAACTAAGCAGATCATTCATATGAGGAAATGTGGTGTAAGCAGTAACTGTCATGTGTTGCTTTTAAGTTATTGTCCATGTAAGAACATGTTTAGAGACAGACATAGCCCACTCACAGCGTAGTGACAAGAAAAAAAACCTCAGAGGTATGAGCACAGAAATGGTCCACAACTACTTCATACATTTGTGCCTTTGTAAATGCAGGTAAGAGTGGCCTAATAAATACAAAAGAGGCAGAGCATTCCTTTCAAATGTTTTTCTTAAAATCAAGTGTGTTCTTCTCTCAGGCCTCTTAGTTTTATTGTGTCACGGAAGGGTTACTGTGAGATAAAGAAACATCAAAAATCACATTATTTCTAACTGTGTTTTGGGAAATGCGCAGATTTGTTTTTCTTGGCCAGAGTTAGATGAGAAGATTGATACCACTCTCGTGTCTGTATGTTAAATATGAAGCTACAGCCAGCAGCCTGTTAGCTTAGCTTAGCATAAAGGGTGGAGACAGGAGGAAATGGCTGGACTGGCTGTGTCCAAAGATAACAAAATCTACCTACCAGCACCTCTAAAGCTCACTAACATGTTATATATCCCAGCTATTAAAAATTTCTGCACATCAACCCTATGGCTAGCGGTTCCCCCGTGTTTCCAGTCTTTATGATAAGCTAAGCTGACCTTATCGTCTCCTGCTCCACATTTAGAGTACAGATAAGAGAGTCGTATTGATCTTCTCATCTAACTCTAAGCAAGATTGCGAATAAGTGTGTTTCCCAAAATGTCAAACTATTCCTTTAATGATGTGATCACATCAGTATAGCAGGCAGTACATAGTCTCACAAGCTGTCAGGAGACTGAAAAATAAGTGAAATGAATGCACCTTGTGCCACTAAAACAGACATCTTATATCCAAATGAGAGTTCACTGAGACAAGTACCTACTGGAGAAGAAATTATGAACCCAAACGGCAGGTATACTCCCCCGTACCTCATGTACATCAGACCATTTTCACGAGCACAAAATGAGAAAACATAAAAATGATCCTTGAATAACAATGGCCAACATTTTTCCTATATTAGACAGAACCACCAAGGGAGTTGGTGCTGCACCAAGTCTTGGATATCACTACATGCCTCACAGAGAAAAAGTTCCTTCAATGCTCAATTGCTTTCTGGGAAAACATCAGAGCATCTCCAAACTGCTGCATCCCATCCCTAACATTATCTCCGCACCTAATCCTGTCTATACTGTTGCCTCTCCCTGCTCCCCTCCTCTGTTTTGTTCTCAGTCTGGCAGCTGTCTGGGCCCACTTGGCCAGGGCTCATATCAGTTAGTTATGGGTCCTGGCGGGTCAGGCCCTCGCCCCTGAACACAGACTGACTGGCTGGCCTCATATCTACACTCAGGACTCTGTGTTCCCTTCCCTCCTCTGCACGCTGCTGTGTTTTCAGAGTTCGGCCAGACAGGGAAGAATGCGGCTAGGGAGCAAATATGAGCTAAATACACACACAAACACACTTAGATGCAGGTACATACACACACATTGAAAGGTTACATTTCAAAAACGCAACATATTAGTCTTTTGATAAAATGATTATCATGTACAAATTCTGTTATTTAAAAATATTGTATCATTGTAAACAAAGTGTTTGCAATAGTCACTGTTTCACACAGTGGTGATACAGAAAATCCATCCTAATATTTTCAGATAACTCCACTGTCTTCATTTCCTGTCCACACTTGCAGCTAAATTTACGCTGCCAATTCAACACAATGTGTTGATAAATATCAAGTTCCAGCTTCTCAAATGTGAGGGAGGATGTGTTGCTTTTCTGTTTTCTATCCATGTAAAATTGATTATCTATGAGTTTATAACAGTCTGTCTGCCACCTTGGTTCAGACTAAACTGTCAACAACTATTGGGTGGATTGCCATGACATTTTGTATAGACATAAATGGGCCCCGGAGAATGAATCCTTATGACTTTGATGATCCCCTGAACTTTTCTCCAGGAGCACTAGCAGGTCAAAGTTTAAATGTGTCCAGTACTTTAGCTTACTTGCAAATATAATGACATTCCAAATAGCCTTATCTGTACACGTGCTAATTAGCAAATATTAGCATCCTAATGTGCTAAGCTAAGACGCTGATCAAGCTAAACACTATACCTCAGCATGATAGCATTGTCATTGTGAGCACGTTAGCATGCAGACATTAGCATTTAGGTCAAAACACAAAGCACTGCTGTGGCTACAATACAGCCTCACAGAGCTGTTAGCATGGCTGTAGACTCTTAGTGTTCTTAACATTATAAACATTTTATAGACAAAACGACAAATCAGCTTGGAATTAAAATAGTTGCAGTTAGGTTTTATTTATTTATTTGGTTAATGCATGAAATGTTAATGACTCACATAATCAAAGTATTGAAGATTGACAGGAGCAAAGTTTATGGTTAAGGTTAACTTCTACTATATGGTTACAATAATATTAAATAATTCCACAGTAACCGCACATGAACCCTGTTATTATTACACAAAGCCTTGTTCACCCTAAAATTCAGTTGTGTCAGTTGTTTGTAAAAACCCGGCACCAAAGATCAGTTGCTAAGACAGGATGTATTCACAACCCAATGACACCATCTTAAACACATGTTTTTCTGATGTTACTGCATCGGTCTGGAAGAGGCTTTAGAGTGACAAATGCATATTCCCTGTGTTGTGAATGTGTGGGAAAGTAGTGCTGACTAGCCATCAGACCTATGAAGGTCCAGGTACTGATTAACAGCTGGTAGGCCCCCACCCCCCTCCATCCCGTCCTGAGGAGCCAGAGAGTCTGCAAGCTATCACTGCTCAATAAGGCAGAT